AAGGCACATGTTAAGATCCACTGCGGCTGAGGTGAGGGTCCCCCCTGGGCAGGAGTGGAGCCCACAGGCAGAGCCAGGCCTGCTAGCTCCAGAATCCATGCCCTTAACCCCACAGAATGGTGCCTCCCATACTCAGGAGGCCCTGGAGGAAGGGGAATCGGCAGAAGCTGGTGTGGCTGGGGCCCGGGGCTAGTGGAGAAGCCCGGAAGGTCGAAAGGAAAGCGGGGTGCAGACCACGAGGGCAACGTGACGTGTCCCGAGGCCACACGGCTTCATAAAGGTCACAGGAAACACGGGGCTGGCTCTGAACCCACCCTGTCTGCTGCCTTCCGCGGGCACAGCCGCGTCCCGCGTGCGGGGCTGACGTCCCGACCGGGAGCCAGGTGGCCGCGAGCGGACCAAGGCCGGGCATTTCAGCCCTGGGGACGCGCCAGGGCGGGACGGCGCGGAGCCGCGGCGTGAGTCAACCTCCGCGCCCCTCGGCTATCGCGGCCCTCGCCCCGGCGACCTCGACTTTGCCCAACCCGGTGGAAAACCCAGAAAGAAGCTGAGCGCCTCGGAGCTGCCAAAGCAGGTCCACCCCCACAACCGACGCCTCAGCTGGGGACCCGATNTCGGTGGAGGGGACGGCGTTTGCGGAGGCTCGGGGGTAAGGGCCGGGGCAGCCCGGGGTCGCTCACCTGCTGGAGGGGCGGCGCTTCCCGGAGCCGCGGCGAGGCACTAGGTAGCTCCGGTGGACGGGTACGGAACGGCGTTAGGTACACGCACACCCAGAATAGGGTTTTAATTTTTAAAAAGTCATTCTTAACCCGTGCTTCCAAGATTTGCCCCTGGCGTTGTCCGACTCCAGAGCTCACGCTGCTGGACATACATCACACTCGGGTTCAGATGAAGGAGGTCACAGCTGGGAGCGAGGGGCCAGCTGATGAGGTTGTATTTGGTAACGTTGAAAGATGTGTAGAATTCCACAGGCAAAGAAAGAGTCTGGTAATAATCTACGAAATCCTAACTTTTCTTGAACCCATCAAATGGCCGAGGTCACAGGGCGACCAATTAGCTAGAAATCTAAGGAAAGACAGATTCCTCAGACCCATCAGTGTGCATGGGAAGGGGTTCCACACAAGCAGATGGGAATTCAGCTAAAAGTTTTAATTAAATGCTGTATACCAAATATACCGAGTGTGGACTAGTGTGAGAGTATAGAGTCCCTGGGAGCCACAAAAACGGGAGTTTGTACCCACTTTGGGCATTCACTAGGTGCTCATGTGAAAGATGGGGGAGGACAGGGCAGGAGAAAGCTTTCCTGGTGGTGGCTGTTGTCCAGGCTGGATTTGTGTGGGTCCTTCTCCCTTTTCAAACAAAACCCTTAAACTGCTGAGGTATGGGTAGAAAATCCTGACACTCTGTGGGGCACAGGTGAAAACCAGTGGCAGCTGGAGAGGGAGAAAAGGGAATGCTCCGGGGGTGGGGTGGGGGGTGGGGTGTAGAGTCAGGAAACTGTCCTAAGCCTGTATCATTAGAGGTCTGTACCTGTGGCAGGGGCAGGATTGCTGGGAAAGCCTGAGAGCCAGGGACACAGGGCCTGCCCAAGACTGAAGCTCGACCAGGACATAGGGAGCCCAACACCATCATACAAACAGGCAGCTACAGCCTACTGCTTAAAACTGACACTGAAAAAAAAAAAAAAACAACCCTCTGGGCAGATGAATCCTCACCCCAAGCACAGGTAGTGCCAGAGAAATTTGAAGCCAGCAATGCCCTGAGAATAACCACTGCAACTACAAAACCCAAACTCCCCTCAACTACTGATGAGATTCACTCACTACCCCACACTAAAGGCCCAGCAGAAAGAGACATGCCCATTTTCAGTCAGAAGTAGTACTTACTCCACGATCGTACAAATGATCTCCAGCCTTCAACCAAAATTGAGACATACAAAGAAACAAACAAAACCAAGAAGCCCCACTGTTGCAGATCAAAACAACAGGACCAGAATTAGATATGACCCAGATGTTATAACTATCAGACAGGATGTTTTAAAAAGCCTGGTTAATATGTTAAAGTCTCCAGTGAAAAAGTGTACAACATGCATAAATAGATGGGGGATTTTAGCAGAGAAGGAAACTGAGTCAACAGAAATGGTTGTAATGAAAAACAGATGGATGCCTTCAAAGGGCACATCAGTTGATTTGACGTGGCCAAGGGAAAAAAGCTAATGAACTTGAAAATAGGACAGTAGAAATTACCTGAACTGAAACACAAAGAGAAAAGAGCGATTAGAAAAGAGTCTTTGTTAAAAAAAATAAATAAAAAAGGGAAAAAAAAACCCCCAGAACAGCATCCAAGAACAGTGGGACAATATCAAATGGTGTAACATATTTGTATTTGGAATCTCAGTAGAAGAGAAAGAATGGAGCAGAAGAAATAGTTGAATTTTCCAAAGA